GAACCCTTACTTGTCGTGTGTTCTAGGGTTTATAGAGAGCTGGATTTATATAAGTTAAGGGCTAGGGTTTTCATCCATAAAGGAAACCTAAACCTACTTTCTTAGCTTAGGGTAAGGTATCATAATCACATTCAATTAAAGGATTCTATCAATCCTACTTCCATTATAAGACACTTTATATAGGATTGATATCCTTAAGAGATCAAATCACAATTCACATTATTCCCTAATTATACATTCCTATTACATGTAGTAGACCATAGAAAGGTTGATTTATATTGGATAAATCCAACATGGACGAAAAATTGAAAATAATACATAGTTATTGGAGCTTTCAACTTAACCAAGTATTGTGTTTCAAACTATTCGCTGACATATATATATCTTTCATTTCAGTCTTTCAGAGGGTGCGGTTAGAGTTTGGAGTTTAGGGTTCATGTTGCGATTAACCACATTTAAAAAAATGAAGGTATGTAATCGATATGGGGTCGTTGATATGGTCGATGTTATAGGTTTGTAGTCAATATTATATCTATAAACGCAGCTAACCGCAACATAGAAAGAATGTACATAGACATACATACATACATACATACATACATATATACATATATATATATATATATATTTTAAATATATTTTTATTAAAGAGAGGGAGAACAGTTTGAACTATTATAAGACCATCTCCAACCGAGAGCCAAAGGGTTATAGTCTGGAATGTAAAGAATTGAAATAAAATGAGGTAAGATAGTATGGAATGGTGAAAAATATGTGAGAAATGGTGTAGGAAAAAAATTAGAAATTAAAAAAAAAAAAAAAAATTGGGCTTGCCAGCTGTTGGCTGGCTGGCTGAAGATGACCAACCGGTTGGCCCTTTGGCCCTTTTTTGTTATGTGGGACCCACGAGCCCTTTGGCCTCTCGGTTAGAGACGGTTTTCGGGCTATTTACGGCCCTCTGGTCCTCTGGATCTTTCGGTTGGAGATGGTCTAATAATTTAGGAGAAGAGAAGTTTCGAATATGGGAAGTATAGATAAAAATTCACCACTTTATCTACTGAGATATTAGACCACGTATAATGAATGTGTGTATATATATATGCACGCACACACTAAGGATCAGTAATTTTAGAATTGATTACTGTTGACATTTTACTCATATTCAAGAGAAATGGTGTTTAGAAGGTAGAAAAATAGAAAATAAGATTTTGTAGACGGTGCTTTGGTGCAGTGACAAAAAATAATGATGTTTAAGCACTCTGGTGCTGGTTCGATCTTCATTGATTTCCTCCCTCTTAACAACTAACAGTTTAACTCACTAACGCTATTGTTAGTAAAAAAAAAATGTATATAATCGTCCTCAAATTAAAGTTGTTACTCCTTTCTTAATTTTGTTGCATTTGTACATAATCATTCTCACATAAGTAAATCAAAGCAAGAATAATGAGAGGAAAAGTAAAGCACAAACATGGAAAATGTGTACAATCTAAAATTGATTAAATTTGTCGAACAATATTTTGATTGAAAATGACCCATACCAAGATCAATAACCTGTTGATAGAAGACAATGGATGACCTAGTCATTCTTTCATTTTTCTTCATTTGATTCTTCAATATGCAGGGAAAAAAACAAAAATCTCTTGCAGCGAGTGTCCTTTGATGACTCAACATTTTAAGCAAAAGAGTTTGTTGCAATTAATTGTTCCATGTGAAACAATAAATCAAGAATCTCGGTTGGTCTTATTTCTTCCATCATAAGCATTCCAAAGTTTTGCTTTTTCTATCAGAAGCAACCAATTAATATCACATGCTTGTTAGGAAGCATAATTTGCACCCTGTTTCACCACTAACATGATTTTTCTTGAAGATCATTAATCTATCTGGAAACTGCATTTCTGTGTGTCCATTTGATAGACATATATCCCAAATTTCAATATATATAGTGACTTCTTAACACAAAAGTAAATTAACATGCTTAAAATTTTCTAACACGCTTAAAATTCAAACATGTCGATCAGCTTCTTTCAATTTTTCTTTAACATGCAAGTGAAATTTTTGTTCGTAATTCTGGAGATCATGGAGTATGATTGATGAACCAAACACCATAAACAAAAAGAAAAGTTAAACTACAAGCTCTCACTGTGCGAGACGCGCGTACGTAACAAACTCAAGCTGAGTTGCTACAACTTATTCTGAATCAAAGAGAATCGAACTAGAAAAACCGTAAAGAATGGACTTGGATGGATCCAGTCTAACAGTCCCACCAAGCACCTGTAATTATTGGATCGTTTTACAGTTGTACTCATAAACAATATATAGTGCCTGCTAGGATCTGTATATTTGCCAACAGTATTCTAAATTATTTGGATTAGACAGATGAATCGATCAATTTTGTACAGCTCAATCGACAAGTTTGTAATTTGTACTTTAAACTTTGGCCTCATGTTTCATGTTATATAAAAACAAAGCCATTGAGTCAATTATATATTAACAAGGAATCCTCAAACAGAATGTGAAAGCCTGCTTTTTATTCTCAATTGCTTTTCATAATTTGTCAACAAAATGGAGCCCCAGATGCACACAAAAAGTGGTGCACAACAAGATTCTTCAACCCTTTCAATAAATTTCTCTATCTAATTGCTGTTCGTAAAAGATAATATAAAACTTATAACCACAGTTACGACACTAATACACTTGCAGTCTATCCGCTCCCTCTTTTCTCTATCATCCCTTTTTTCACTTTGTTTCCATGCTACCTTTATCTTTAATAAAAAGTTAAAAATTAAATAAACGCGTAACATTACCAAATGGAGTCGTAATTTTTGTGTGTTTCCAAACCCTTTAGTGGCCTCAGATGTACAGTAACCGTGGCGACTGGTAAGAAATAATCGGATTAGTTATTGGCTGCTGGACAGCTTTTCCTTTGGAATACAAAAAAAAAAAAAAAAGAAAAATTCAAGTTCTATTTGAGAATGGTAGACCGGTGATGATGTACCCAATCAACAAAGCTATGGAGGGGAAGGAAAGGACCGTTCGGTGTGTGACTATGGATGATTTGAGGATTGAATGTGGGTGCTGGTCAGTCGCCGTGGTAAAAATGCGAGACGCTTGGCCTTTTTTTAAGAAAGAAAGTTTAGGAGATAACATAGAGAGTTGATACTGTGAAGTTGGGCTAAGTGAGTGCAGAGAAAATTTAAACTCGGCAGTGAGTGGCTTATACCCCATTTTTTAGTAGTAGAAGTTTTATTAGATTTTCATAATCTAGTAGTATAAGTTTATAGGAGTTTCAAGCAAAGCGTTGGTTGGCTTCTTACATTTATTCATTGCAAATCATAGGATGACTACAGATGCAAAGCATCAAAAGTAAGAAGGAATAAATAAATATTTTCCTTTCAAGTGTTTGAGACTTTCTCCGTTCAAGCTAGCTTATATATACGAATCACATTAATAATAGTAACCTGACATGGATGCTCATGGTTGTGTTAAAAGAGAATAATTTGAACACATGAATTACGTAAGTTTCTTGTTTGTATGATCCTTGATCATATACAATTCTTCATGGAATTTTCTTATTAAACATACATGGAACTCGGATTTACCTAACATAAATGAAAAAATGGAAAGAGTCAGGTGACATAAAAATAGGACAACCAAGTAAAGAGAACCAGATCAACTCACACTTTTTCCGACTCCATATGTATTAGTAAGCAATGGCCTGATTTATGTTCCCTAGATGCTTGATGATTTTAAGAAGTGAGATGATTCTCCTATGAAGCACGAATAGGGATATGGCGATATAATACATGACTTGACGATACAAAAAAATTCTCAAAATTAGGATGCAATACGTTATGGATACGACAATTAAAAATATAACAGTACACAGCAATAAAAATACATATTTTAATAACACAGAAATTCACATTCATCATCTAAATTCAAGTTCATTTAATTTGTTGGAGAAAAAAAGATGGAATCTAATTCTCTTGAATTAAAGAAGAAGTGTGAGAATCGTATTCATATAGTTTCAATAGAGGCAAGCTCTTCACATTCATCAGATTTCCATTAAAGCTTTGCCTTTTATTGATTTTCTCGCATATTCATCAAGTCAAGGCAGTATCTGTTGACCATGATACGTATTGATGAGTATCCAACAAGTATCGTATTTGACTAAATATTAAATATGAGAAGCATAACCTAAAGTATTTGTGTTTCATAATGATTCTCATATTCATATTTAACAAAATGTGAAAACTCAAAAATCAAAAGTATTCAAATTCCTATTCTCTTTAAATAAACACACATCATCGTCTGAATAATTTATGTACTTGGGTTGACTCCTTTGCAAGCAAGAAAAAGAATTGGGAAAAAAAAAAACAACAACAACAAAAAAACATTTCAAAATCCATTATAAATTACTTTTCACTAAAATCCAGCTAAGACTTAAAATCTTCATGAATTAAACCAATTGTCACATTTTCATTCATCTGTGTACCTGCACATTGATCCTCTCTGAGCAAAAGATAAGTCTCCCAAGAGTAGGACCTGACAAATACGCAGGCAGGACCCACCACTCTGCATGTGAGACACGTGTACGTGCCAGCCCATATCTCCGAGTGAGCAAAGGATTAATCCACTACAAGCCATACAAGTCCCACAGAAAGATGCTGCATTTTTTAAGCCCTTTGCCAGAAACCCTAACAGGGGCCACCATATATATTGCCATGTACTGCTCCCAAACATTAAATCCACCACCCCCACTGTACATACACTTTCATGTCATGCATCCATTTTTCTCCTATCTGTTCATATTTTCTGAGTGATCAGACACTAGCCGTGGCTACCAGCTTGTACATTTTCAGTTCACTGTTTCTTTTTGTTTCCTCTTTCTCTGCTGCTTAATCATACAAGTCGAGCTCAAGAGCTAGCTTCCTTTGTCTCTATTGATCTCTCTTTTTCCGTTTTATCTTCTTCTGCCTTGGCTGCAATACTACTTTGAGAGAGAGAGAGAGAGATGGGACACCACTCATGTTGCAACAAACAGAAAGTGAAGAGGGGGCTATGGTCTCCAGAGGAAGATGAAAAACTCATCAACTACATCACAACAAATAGCCATGGCTGCTGGAGCTCAGTTCCTAAACTTGCAGGTACTCTCTCTCTCTCTCTCTCTCTCTCTCTCTCTCTCTCTCTCTCTCTCTCTCTCTAGCTCTACATCTGTATATACATATATATATTAGTTATCGCTCTGCATATATACGTATATTTATGTTTTGGATTGTGTGGGATATTGGTTGCTAATTAACCCATTACAATTTTTCACTTAATTTTTCTAATTTTTAGTTTCTTTTGTTTAAATTTGCTTCCATGAGGCCAGGCCTTCAGAGATGTGGAAAGAGTTGTAGACTGAGATGGATAAATTATCTGAGACCTGACTTAAAACGTGGGAGCTTCTCTCCCCAAGAAGCTGCACTCATTATTGAACTCCATAGCATTCTAGGCAACAGGTATAAATATTCGAAGTGTTTAATATTAGCTCACCACCATTGTGTATGTTTTGATAGCTGTTATTGGCAGTCCAAGAAAGTCATCACGCACTTCAAATTTATAAAAATATAAGCAAAAATTTAAGGAGTGCAAGATGACATGATTGAAGTACCAATACGAACACCTTATGTACTTTCTCTTGATTATAATGATCTTGATATGTAAATTATAAGCAGATGGGCTCAGATAGCCAAGCACCTGCCAGGAAGAACAGATAATGAAGTGAAGAACTTTTGGAACTCCAGCATAAAAAAGAAGCTCATCTCGCATGAAGTTATTCCTGCATTTGCCTCCTTTTCTAATGATCATATTCACAACCCTAGTGGTCATGGCTCTGAGGAAGGTTTCTTCACTCTCAATACAAACCCTAATTTGTGTTCTCAACCACAAGATCAGCTATACCTCCCCATTGTTCCATCACCAGTGCCATCACTAGGTCTCAATTATCATGGTGATTTTAATAACATTCTCAAGTTAGACCAGACCAATTACGCTTCCAATTTCGTCGATCATTTTTTGCCTCCCTTCCAATTACCATCAAATAATGCATCCTCATATGAGTCCTCATCATGGTCCTCAGGCTATCAACCCCAACACCAATTTGATCCAAATATTCAGCAAGTTCAAAATTTCAGCATCAATGAAGCTGCAGCTGCTCAATATAATAATATTGGTAATGAGCTCATGGTTCCAATTAGTATGGCATCGTCAGAACCAGTCGCTTATGAAAACACTTTCATTTTACCCACCGTGCCTAAATTTTGTGAGATCATTGATGGTAATGTTTGTAGAATGCCAATATTATACCCATCTGATCTACAAGAACTTGATTCACTTGCCAAATTATCATGCTTTACATCTGGTCATGGATCTCACCCTCAAGATCTTCAATTTCCATCCAATCAATTAGAGTGCATTGATGCCATCATGTCATTGTTGCCATCGTCTTCATCATCGTCATCACCTTCATCGGCATCTCCATCCTTGTTACCATTATCAAGCAGCCAATTCGACGCAAACTTTAACGCTCATTGAAGCTGCTTGGAAGCCTAGCTATTAGACAGAATCCAAATTTGCGAATTAGGTATTTTGTATGGTTGGATTCAATATTCATAGAATGAAAATTGCGTATATTTATATCTTGACATTTGCATAAGGTGATGCTATCCCCATTACTAGAAAACCTAAATGTTGCTAGTTCAGGCTCCTTAGGAAGTGATGTTTGTTGAGACTCCATATATTTCTATCTCTTTTCACATGTTGCTCACTTTATTATATTCTGGTCAAAGTTCTCTCTATTTGAATATCGTTTATATTGTACTCTAGCACCTGCTTCATTATTATTTTAAAAATACCATATGCAGTTGCTTTTCTCTTTCTGTACACTTACCGTTTATTTCTGATTGTTAATCACTTTTTGATTAATTCATTCCGAAGACTATAACGAAACTAGAAGTGTGCAGCACACCAGGTAGAGTACAAAGAGTACAGCCTAAAGTCAAACCTTAGAAAATAATTTAGGCCAAAAATTCTTCACCCATCCAGCAGTACTAGAAAGTTGATTTTTACACCTTTGTTTTTTTTTTTTTTTTTTTAAGCAAAAGATATTATCTACATTAAAAAAAGAAGAAACCTAGAAAAATAACCAAATTTGAACACTACATAGAATTATAGCTATCTTTTTAAATTTATGATATGTATTGTCACATCCCGGCCCAGGCCTCCACCACATTCTAGTTCAACTCAACTATAGCACGATATTGTCCACTTTGGGCCCCAACCTCGCCCTCTCGGTTTTGTTTCTAGGGAACTCACATGAGAACTTCCCAGTGGGTCACTCATCCTGGGATTACTCTCGCCCGAACTCGCTTAACATCGGAGTTATGATGAAACCCAAAGCCAGTGAGCTTCCAAAATGCCTCGTGCTAGATAGAGATGAGAATATACATATAAGTCTTACAGGATCCACTCCCCTGGACGATGTGGGATGTTACATGTATAACTAAAAGTTGATATGAAAGTACTAATATACACTTAATGATTAAGACTTTTTACAAAACAAATTCAAAGCCTCATCTCAACAACCTGACAATTCCAGCCCTCTCAAAAAACTCAGCCCATTTCTGATTATCAACATCAAAAGCTAAATTTCCAGCATATACCTTTGCTTCTTCTTGTGGCTCGACATTTGAATCATCCTCTCTCTCTCTCTCTCTCTCTCTCTCTTTCTCTCTCTCTCTCTCTCCCTCTCCTCAAAGACCCATTTTCCTCGTTGCCATCGCTTTGTTCCTCAAAGACCCGTTTTCCTCGTTGTCGTCGCTTTGTCAATGGTGAGCATGTTGTCCTCTCCACCCTAATCCAAGGTCTGGGCTACGAAGGCGACGAAGGAAAAGCAGGTTTTGCTCCTAAGGGACAGCTCTTTTGTATTCCACACTCTAAAGTTCACTCCTTTTTCTTCTTGAGAGATTATAATCACAGAACCCAAATTACTTGCCCCACATTCTTTTATTTTTTAAATATTTTTTAGATATTTTACACACCACTAACACTTGATAAAAAAATATTAAAAAATTAAAATGAGGTGAGGGAAGTAATTTGGGATGTATGAATATAATCTCTATTCTTCTTTCCCTTCTGTAAACCAGAAAATCACTCAAATCCCACGCTTCTTCCGAACTTAGCAACCAAGATTCAAATATGCATGGAGTTTCAGTCAAATGAGGAAACCTTCAGTCAATTGAACCACATTCGTTCACCCAAGAACCCACATTTATCCAACTCTTTCCTTCTATTTTTTGGACTAAATTTTGTGCTGAAAAACAAGAACAATCAAGTGTGAAGGAAAACATTGAAGATCGGGAAGCGTAAAGCAGCAAAATCATTTGGGTTTGAGTCTTTGGATTTGTTTTGTTAAAAGTTATAGTCATTACGGGTATATTAGTACTTTTATATCAACTTTTGGTTATAATTATTATAAATTTTAAAAGTTGGCTATAATTCTATATGGAGTTCAAATTTTGGTTATTTTCCAAATTTCCCTTAAAAAAGAGGGGATGAGCTTAACCTCACAACGGGCTAGTAATAATATGGTTTAAATTCGCCTTTGTGCGAGAATCAAACCTAAATCTCTCACTTACAAATGAAGAGGAATACCACCAGATGATGCGAGAATTATACGCACACAAATTAAACCCTCTTTTTGTCAATTGTAGTAAGTATGTAAGTGATGCGAGAATTATACGCACACAAATTAAACCCTCTTTTTGACAATTGTAGTATGGATGTAAGTAGGGATCGTTCTGGACCGGGGATTAGGAGGGATTGTTAACCACTTGGATTTGACTTCAAAAACGTAAAAACAAGATAAAACACTAAATTAGACTCAAAGAATGTGAAACTAAACGTTAAAACACTAAGACAAACCAAAAGACTCAAAATGCTTTAAAAACACAAACTAAATTGATTTCTAACTAAATTGAACAATAAAGTAAAGGGGGATTGGATTTGGACGACTTTAAACTAAAAATGGAAACTTGGAAACAAAACAAATTGTAAATATGGATTTGACGGAAATGAATGGATGGGAAGCTAGCTAAGGGGTTCATCTCCACATATGTTATACTTGCATACAAAACGATGTCTAATTGCTTTTCAATAAACCATGAATTCTCAACGCCCCGGGTTAATTAGGTCCGCTTAAATTAACCGTCAAGTTTTCCTTAATTTAATGAATTGGATGATTGCATACGACAATCCAAAGCATTCCTCACAAGTTCCCTACATGAATTGCTTAATAGAGATACAAGCAAGAATCATTAAGCATCATGAAAACTATAAGTTTTGACGAGGCATTCGTTACTATGATTGCATGAAACTTATGCCAAGAATATGTTTAACACGATTGTTTATAAGCAACCTCCACTACTTGTGAATATAAGTTCATAACTATTACGTGAAACTCACTTATATTCTAGCGTCAAATTCATGCATGAAAATTAAGCGTTCATTCTTAATAAACATACATAAATAGGTTATCAATCAAACAATTAAACAAATTGAATTCACAACTTATGAAACGTAATTAAAAGTAATCAAATCATATTACAAACATAAACATAGTTTCGAATTACACCCTAGCTAAAGGGGGTTTAGTTCCTCATAACTTTGAAATCAAAGAAACACCTAAACATTCCAACAACTCAAAACTTTGAATTGTATGAACGTTTAAGCACTCTTTTCTTCCATTTCTCATACGTACAAAACAAAGAGAATTAAAATGAAACTTTGAAATCAAAGAAACACCTAAACATTCCAACAACTCAAAACTTGAATTGTATGAACGTTTAGGCACTCTTCTCTTCCTCGTTGTTGTAGCACAAGGTTTAAGGATAGGTTGGTTGGGGGGATGGAAGTGTTGGGGAATTATGGAAATGGATGAGGATTGGTGGAAATGGAAGATGGTTTTTGGATTCTAAGGGAGAAAGGAATGTGTTTGTGGTGTGTTGTTGTGTTGTGAATGAGATGATTTTTGAATGAATGAATGCAAGGGTATTTATAGGAGGAGTGGAGATGTATATGGCTATTTGTTTAAGGTGTTTGTGGTTGCAATGATGAAGAATTGCATGTGGAAATAAAAGGGAAAATGTGGTGAAATGATGAAGTAGGAAGGTGGAAATGCATGTGAGATGTTGGAAAGGAAATGGGAATATGAGTAGGCCATGGCATGGGAGTTGTTTTGTTGGTGTAAATGTGCCATGGTTGCAATGATGAAGAATAAAGGGTGCATGTGGGGTGGAATTGAATGAATGCAAAGTGAATGAATAATGAAATGAGTTAAAGAGAGAGAATGTGGTGAAATGATGAAGTAGGAAGGTGGAAATGCATGTGACTTGTTTGTGGAATAAAGAATGAATGGTGGAAATGTGAGTGAATGATGTGCATGTGTGTGAATGCATGTGTTGATTTAAAGAATAGGTATGCATGTGAATTAGTTTGGAAAGAGGTCGGTGTGCATGTGAGATGAAATGCATATGTTTGAAATGTGTAGATGATTATGAGTATGATAAGTGATAAATGAATGATATGTGGTGAGTGATAAGTGAATGGAAATGATAAGTGATAAGTGAATGGAAGTGATAAGTGAAAGGTTTGATAAGTGATAAATGAATGATATGTGGTGATAAATGAATGATATGTGGTGAGTGATAAGTGAATGGAAGTGATAAGTGATAAATGGACTAGTTTAAAGGGCTAGGGTTTAAGTACATAGAATGGGCCTAAAATAGGTTGGTTTGCATGGCATAATATGTTTGATTGGGCTAGAGGTTTTCCATGGCTCAAAGGATTTGTTTGATTGGGCTAGGCCCTTTGTTTGATGTCCCCAAAGAGCATACAAGGCTTCAATTTCGTCCATCCTCTTTGCTCCATGATTAAGCTATCCAATCCATGCCCAAAAGTGCCCCAAATAGCCTCAAAATGCACTTTCTTGCTCCCTAAGCCCTTAGAACCTGAAAACACACAAAAGAAGCATAAAGGACTAAAATAACTATGAATTACCAACATAGATGCACGAAAACAAGCTAAGTAAGTCGCCTAAATATGCTCCTATCAGTAAGTAGGGATCGTTCTGGACTGGGGATTAGGAGGGATTGTTAATCACTTGGATTTGACTTCAAAAACGTAAAAACAAGTTTAAAACACTATACTAGACTCAAAGAATGCAAAACTCAAAATAAGATAGATTAAGACTAAGACTAAACAAAGTATAGGGGGGGGGTTGAGGTTTTGACTAAATTAGACTAAAATGCACAAATTGTAAAGAAAACAAATTGTAAATACGAATTTGATGGAATTGAATGGATGGGAAGCTAGCTAAGGGGTTCATCTCCACACATGTTATACTTGCATACAAAATGATTTCTAATTGCTTTTCAATAAACCATGAGTTCTCAACACCCCGGGTTAATTAGGTCTGCTTAAATTAACCGTCAAGTTTTCCTTAAGTTAATGAATTCGATGATTGCATACGACAACCCAAAGCATTCCCCACAAGTTCCCTACATGAATTGCATAATAGAGATACAAGCAAGAATCATTAAGTTCTTTGAAAACCATAAGTGTTGACGAGGCATTCGTTACTATGAATTGCATGAAACTTATGCCAAGAATTTACTTAACGCGATTGTTTATAAGCAACCTCCACTACTTGTGAATATAAGTTCATAACTATTAGGTGAAACGTACTTATATTTTAGCGTCATATTCATACATGAAAATTAAGCGTGCACTCTCAATAAACAT